ACCTTCATCTTTGGTTTTAGTTTTATCACTTCAAAATGAAGATTCGAGGTGCAGGGTCCCTGCATCTTGTCTATTCGCTGCTGATTTTACTGCAGATGCAACCTTCAACTGGATCCAATTCAACAACAGCTGATGATGGAGTTAAGTGCATGAAGAGCGAAAGACAAGCTCTTCTCGCATTTAAGCAAGGTCTGGTCGATGAACATGGATGGCTCTCCTCATGGGGTAGTGAAGAGGATTGTTGCAAATGGGAAGGAGTTCGATGTAGCAACACAACTAGGCATATCACTGTGCTTAATCTATCAGCGTATGCGTATGATTATAATTTTATCTTAAGAGGTAACCTTAGTCCTTCCCTGTTTGAGTTGCAGCATTTAATTTATTTAGACCTCAGTGGAAATAATTTCAACTTAAGCCACATTCCAAAGTCTATTAGTTCACTCAATAAAATACAACATCTTGATCTCTTAATTTGTAATTTAAGTGGATCTCTTCCTAGTCAGCTTGCAAACCTCACAAGTCTACAGTATCTCGATCTTAGTTTTAACAAATTCAACATCCAAAATCTTGTGTGGCTCTCTCATCTTTCTTACTTGCAGTACCTTAGTCTGAGTGGAAACAACCTTAGTAAGGTCAACAATGACTGGCTGCAAGTAATTAATGAACTCCCTCATCTAACTAGCCTATCTCTATATGGATGTAATCTTCAAGATGTCATTCCCCAGTATTTCCCCATAATTAATACCTCTAGAGCTTCTCTCGTTCTGCTTGATCTAGGAGCCAACAATTTGACTACTTTTGCATTCCAATGGTTGACCAACTTTAGCAATAGCCTTGTTAGTCTCTACTTGGGTTCTAATCAATTTCGAGGTCCAATTCCAGAAACTTTTAGTCACATGACTTTTCTGAAAGAGCTTGATCTCTCGAATAATCAATTTGAAGGAGAGATTCCAAAATCCTTTTGGAGTAGTAACTTGTCATCGTTGCAAATCTTGCTTCTTTTTAACAATAAATTGAATGGTACCATACCCAAAAGTATTAGACTCCTGTCAAAACTTGAGGTCTTAGATCTTGGTTTCAATTCTTTTAATGGGGTGATCACTAAGGCACACTTCTCAACACAATCTAATTTACGGTCCTTGAGCATGTCTTCTAGTTATCTGAGCATCAACTTCAGCCACGACTGGATTCCTCCATTCCAGTTGAAAGATATTGATCTAGGGTCTTGCGAGTTGGGACCTGATTTTCCAGGCTGGTTACAGACCCAAAGGAGCTATCGGTTTCTTAATATTTCTGCAACCAGAATTTCAGATAGCATCCCCATCTGGTTCGGTAAGCTGCCTTCTATGGCACGAGTTATAGATCTTTCTTCCAACCAAATCAATGGAATTCTTCCAAATTTGTCAAGGAATTTTTCATATGATTCTTCGGCCCTTGGGATAAATTTAAGTGGAAATCATTTGGAAGGTCCATTACCATCATTTCCTGCTAATACCACGCACATAAACCTCTCAAAAAATAGGTTTAATGGGTCAATTTCTTCTCTCTGTGATATAACTGGTATGTCTATTGAGTTCCTCGATCTTTCAAGCAATCAACTATCTGGAAAGCTTCCCAATTGTATGATGTATTGGTCAAGTCTGCAAATTTTGAATTTGGCTAACAATCATTTCTTCGGAAAAATTCCGACCTTTGTGGGATCTCTCTCTTTGATTGAAACATTTGATTTGCAAAACAACAACCTGTTTGGGAAAATTCCTAGCTCTTTAAGGAACTGCAGTAAATTACAATTTCTGGGTTTGAGTAATAATAGATTGTCTGGAATAATACCAAGTTGGATTGGAGAAAGGTCAAATTCACTAAATTTCCTCCTCCTAAAATCCAATCATTTTGGTGGAGAAATCCCATTGGAGATATGCTGGTTGACAAATATTTTGCTGTTGGACCTCTCTAGGAACAATCTGTCCGGACACATACCACGATGCATTGGTAATTTGACTGCCTTGGCCAGAAAAGACATTGCAGCGCGAGGTCATTTCTTTAACTCTTCACATGGTTGGTTTAATCCGTGGAGGTACGCTGACAAAGCATCTGTTATATGGAAAGGAATAGAATATCATTACGAAAATCTCACACTTCAGAGGACAATTGATCTTTCAAGCAACAAATTAACAGGGGAAATTCCAGTCCAAATTTCGAGTCTTTTTGAAATGCATCAATTGAATTTATCAAGAAACCATTTGATTGGAAGAATTCCACCAAATATAGGGCAGATGAGACAGTTGGAATCGCTTGATCTTTCACACAACAGGCTTTCAGGTTGGCTTCCTCCAAGCATGTCCCAATTATATTCTCTCAGTAAATTGGACCTATCGTATAACAACTTTTCTGGGAGAATTCCAACCAGCACTCAAATGGACACTTTTAATGCTTCTGCATTTGTTGGTAATCCTACACTTTGTGGACCACCTCTAACACCAACATGCCCAGGTGATGAAAAATTGATAGATGATGGTCTCAAATACAATCAACAAGACAAAGATGAATTCTGGAAAGGGTTTAAACCCAGTATGGAACTCGGAATGGCTTTTGGCTTTTTGGGAGTTCTGGCTCTCAAGATAGATCATCCTTGGAGACATGTTTGTTTCTTGCTGTCCAACTACATGAAGGCCTATCTCAGCAACTTGAAAGGCTACCTCTGTTTGGTTGTGTCAGCAGTTTGTTTGGTGATAACAGTGAATGCTGCTAGACTGCGAAGAAAGTTGAAGTTTTAGGATTCATCCCTTGGAAGGTATGTCTTAGGTCTGTTTACAATTATATGTCGTCTTGTTCAATTATTAGTGTTACTTAATTGGAAAATAACAGAGGAGAGCACGTTTAATTGTTGTTTGTAGGTTGAAGATGCTTCTTCAGGGACTTCAAGGACTTCTTTTGAGAGGTGAAATTCCAGCGCTTCCTTTTCAGCTACCCGTATCTACGGAACAATTTTTTTTTTAAATTTTTTTATCTCCTCTATTTGTGTAATAAATTATGGTTTGTTTGTGTGTTTTATGGTTTTATGTATGTTTAATTAATTTCATTATTCAGTCCGTAAGGAATGAAGACCAAGTTGCGTGCAATTAAAATTAAATTAAATCTTGAATTGTTCAAGCCTTTAATTTAATAACTTGGATGCTTTTGTACTTATCAAGTTTAAATTCTCCTTTTCATTTTATTTTCATAGAATTAGTAATCTGGTATGGTAGTGTATAATTTACCATTATATGCAATTACTCCTGCAAGGAAAGAGATATATAAACACCCGACTATAGTCCCCATCTAAACCGCTAAGATATATAGTATTGTTTTTATTTATGTTAATTTAAATAATTTCATTTTTTATTTTGATTAACCTAATGCTTATTTTTTTTTTTTGATATGAACCCAATGCTTATTAGAGGAGCAGTGGGAGTAAAACATTCCCTCTGGACCTCTGGTCCATTTGCTTTAAAAAAAAAAAAATCCATGTGGTTCCAACTCCTTATTAGAAAATCAATATCTTATTCAATTGGATGTCTATAATAATATAAAAAATATTTTTAGTTTGATTATTAAAAAAATTATTAATGTGTATTAATTTTAATTTATAAAAAAATTGAAATCTTAATTTATTTTTAGAAGTTTTAATTTTAATTTAAAATTTAAAATTTTATTTTATTAAATATTAATTTTTATATGTATAAGTCGATTATATATTTTGATATAATTAATTTTTTTTAAAATTTAAATGTTAATATTTAATAAAATAAATTTTTAAATTTAAATTTAAATTTTAAATTAAATTTTAATTAAATAAAATGATTGTAATTTAAAATTAAAATTTTAATTTATTTTTAGAGGTGACACTAATATATACTCTCTTTTTTTCTTAGAAAGAAATTTACTCTACGTTGTTATGAGAAACATTTTCCCCAAGTTTCAGTTTGATAAAATTTTTTTCTAGTTTGGGCTGAATAAAATCAAATTGAATATTACATTTATTTTGCTTTTTCCCTAATTAAACTAAACAAAGACAATATTAAAAAATAATAATAATAACAGTTGGCGGAGCCTTTAGTTTTTTTTAATGTCAAAGAAGATTTCAGCCGGAAATCATGGAATTAACGGCTTCACCAGCACAGTGGCAATTTCGTAATTAACCAAAAACCCAAATAGATCTTTCCACAGAAAACTGGGGCTTAATTCAATTATTAGCCTCTTAACTATCAATTTAATTTCATTTTAATTTAAAAATTTTATTTTCTTTCTAAATAATTCATAAATTTCGGAGAATATTTCAAAATAATTTACCTTACAAAAGTTCTATTAGATTTAATGGAAAAAAATAGTTCTTTAAGTTTTAAAAAAGGATATTATAATCTTAATAAAATATGATGATTTAAAAAACATTTTATAGATATAGAGTAGTTAAAATTTATAATAAACTTAAGTAATTAGTTTAATTCAATCAGGAAAATTTAATAAGTTTGGAATGAGAAGTTTTAAAAGTAAATTTGTTTGCTGTTCAAAAAAAAAAAAGAAAGTAAATTTGTTTTATAAAGTAGATTATATGTAACTGATCT